ACTTTAACCTGGGCATTTTTTTTACCTGTATGGGAGGTCTTTGAACTCCAGAAAGAATATGACTTAATCTGCAACTGTCAGGAGAGAGAACTATACTGTCATTTAGTAAAATAATAAATTTTGTTTTGCCATCAAATTTGGTAATTGTTAGTGAACCATCTCAACGACTGTTTGATCATGAGCTATTCTAATGTTACAACACACTGGTGGTGAACACTTAATTGTCTCTTCAGTTGTGTAGAGAGGGTGTGAATAGTTCTTCACTTACAGCAGCTTGTGCAACATCCTATCTAGACTCGGCTCTAACATCCAGAGCTATTCACAGCACAGAGCCAGTTTCTTCAAGTCTATTATTATTTATGTTTTTGGAGGTTTGTTGTTTTGGTCTTGTTTTGCCTTGTTGTACAACTTGTGACAGCTTTGCAGTGTTAAAGGTAGTTGTTTGGCACCAGGTTCTGTTCTTATTTTACCTTTATGTCTAGCCTCTTCAAGACCATGCTAAATTTCAAATATGTGGCAACACAATTTTAATTTAAAATATGACATTCTACAGCTTGAGTATTTGTTGTGCACAGGAATGTAATTACTGTGCACAACTAGTGTGCACAAGAAAGTATATTTTTTTGCTCTCCAATGTTCTTTTAGGGGCTCAAAATCGCATTGTAATTTTTTTAAATAAAAATGAGGAAAGAAAAGCAGTGGCCTTGTTATAACACACCAAACCTCCTTGAGTTGTATATATACAGTATATATATATATATATATATATATATATATATATATATATATATATATGTAATCAGTACAGACCACAAGTTTGAACACAACTGCTCATTTAAAGAGTTTTCTTTATTTTCATGATTATGAGGATTGTAGATTCACACTGGAGGCATCACAACTATGAATTAACACATTTGGAATTATTTACTTAAGAATAAAGAAAAAACATCTGCATATATGTGTTATACTCTAGGTTCTTCAAAGTAGCCACATTTTGCTCTGATTACTGCTTTGAACACACTCTGCATTCTCTTGATGAGCTTCAAGATGTAGTCACCTGAAATGGTTTTCACTTCACAGGTGTCCACTGTCAGGTTTAATAAGTGGATTTCTTGCCTTATAAATGGGTTGGGACCCTCAGTTGTGTTGTGCAGAAGTCAGGTGGATACACAGCTGATAGTTCTACTGAATAGACTGTTAGCTGTTTTTTTTCTTGCCATAATACAAATTCTAAGTAAAGAAAAAAAATTGGCCATCATTAATTTAAGAAATTAAGGCCAGTCAGTCTGAAAAATTGGGAAAACCTTGAAAGTGTCCACAAGTACAGTGGCAAAAACGATGAAACACTACAAAGAAACTGGCTGACATGAGGACCGCCCCAGGAAAGGAAGACCTAGAGTCACCTCTGCTGCGGAGGATAGGTTCATCAGAGTCACCAGCTTCAGAAATCACAGGTTAACAGCACCTCAGATTAGAGAGCAGGTCAACAGAGGCCACACAGAGTTCTAGCAGCACACACATCTCTAGAATAACTGTTAAGAGGAGACTGTGTGAATCAGGCCTTCATGGTAAAATAGCTGCTAGGAAACCACTGCTAAGGACAGCCAACAAGCAGAAGAGACTTGATTAGGCTAAAGAACACAATGAATGGACATTAAACCAGAGGAAATCTGTGCTTTGGTCCGATGAGTCCAAATTTGAAATCTTTGGTTCCAACCATCGTGTCTTTTTATGACGGAGAAAAGGTGAACGGATGGAATCTACATGCCTGGTTCCCACCGTGAAGCAAGGAGGAGAAGGTGTGATGGTGTGGGGGTGCTTTGCTGGGTTAGGGGATTTATTCAAACTTAAAGGCATACTGAACCAGCATGGCTACCACAGCATCTTGCAGCTACATGCTATTCAATCCGATTTGGTTTAGTTGGACCATCATTTATTTTTCAACAGGACAATGACCCCTTACACACCTCCAGGCTGTGTAAGGGCTATTTGACCAAGAAGGAGAGTGATAGGGGGCTGCACCACATGATCTGGCCTCCACAATCACCGGAACTGAACCCAATCAGGATGGTTTGGGGTGAGCTGGACCGCAGAGGGAAAGCAAAAGGGCAAACTAGTACCTCTTGAAGCTCATCAAGAGAGTGCAGAGTGTGTGCAAAGCAGTAATCAGAGCAAAAGGTGGCTACTTTGAAGAACCTAGAATATAAGATATATTTGCAGTTTCACACTTTTTTGATAATTATATAATTCCACGTGTTAAAGCACAGTGAATTCAACATTCAAAGTGAATATATATATATATATATATATATATATATATATATATATATATATATATATATATATATATATATATATATATATATATATATATATATATATATATAGAGAGAGAGAGAGAGAGAGAGAGAGAGAGAGAGAGAGAGATCTATAATTTTTTTTCACCTCACTCCTGTTTGTATTGGCTGTTTTGTAATTATGCATGCCAAAGACTCAGTTTCACATTCTCAGATTTTGTTGGAGCGGACGGAATTAATTCGTAAAGACTGTAAAGGGACAAGGACAAATGACGGGTCTGAGCCAAAGCCCCTGATGTTACATGTCCCCTCATATGCGAGTAAAAAGTGCGAATCAACATGTACCTTTATGCACATCTGAATTCAAGCGCAGGACGATGTGCCAGCGCAGAATCAAATCACCCAGCCCCGGCAAGACTGTTAAAATTCAGTTTGCATAGTATCCTATCAGTATGTATTTACATAAGAATATTATCTTGCCGTAGAGGTACAAACATCTCAGGCATGGAAATGCAGGGATAATTTTTTTCACCTCACTCCTGTTTGTATTGGCTGTTTTCCCAGATATATCTCTAAAAACATTCCAGATTTTTTACCGCCATAAAAATGAAGTTCCTCACACAGCACTCCGTTTCATAAATGTTCCATTTATTGACTATAAGGAGGTAAAATACGCTTGATATGGCGATTAATTGTCCCATTGATGCACAGCGACATCTGCTGGTCATTTAAAATACCTGTCGTGAGTGTCAAATTTACCATGTCTGTTTTGTCGCAGTTAAATCTCTCTGATGACTTTATTCCGAGTAAACCCTGTAGCTATAAAAAATAGAAATATATATTACATCTAGATATATGTATATATGTATATACCTGCTTTAATTTCGAACACAAGCAAAAGCTACGATGAGGGCAGCAAATACAACGAAAGTTTCTCCATGCCATGCCTTTATTTTGAAGGGCACCGGACCGGCGGGCTTGAAAGCCACGCCCACTTCTGAAACCGAAAATTGACTGGTGTTTCCGTTTTGGGGGCGAAAACGAAAAAACCAAAATCAAGCCGTTTAATGGATTTTGGTTTTATGTGCAGAAACCACAAAACGGGGAAAACGAATCGTTTTCTGAGGAGAAAAAGGAGAAAATGGCCGTTTTTCTGTTTTTTCCATGTTGAATTATACCGTTTAATCAAACTGATAAAAAGTACGTTCGTCGATCCAGTTATTAAATCTACAAATGAAGCTTTTAAGGTTTTAAAAAAGAAATCAGAACTTTCAGAATCTAATTGAAAGAAGAAGAAAGGAGCTACGGTGAGAAGGGTTCTAGGAAATCCAGAAAGAGGATTGGAGGAAGGTTGGAGGGCTGCAGTCTGTAGCTCTGCTGCCTTGCAGCAGGAAGGTTCTGGGTTTGATTCCCAGCCTGGGGTCTTTCTGTATGGAGCCCACATGTTCTCTTTGTGCATGTGTGGGTTCTCTCTGGGTACTCCTGCTTCCTCCCATGGCAGTGCATCAGCAGTCGCCATAATAAGTCCTACCTGAACAGTGCTGGCAGTTAGGAAGGAGCTAGGACCAGGAGGCTGGATGCTTCCTAGTTCCAATGCAGTTAGCATAGGGACGTCTCTGAGGGCCGCTATACGGTTACCCACAATCCTTTGTGTGACAGAACGTAAAGGCACAGCCCACCTCACAGAGTTTGATCAAAGTCCATTATTTCCTGACATGGCCTCGCCTTCATATGTTTGGGGTTTCATAGCAGAAAGCTTCAGTTGTTCACTAAATTTATGGAACTTTGGATTTTTGTAGTTCTTTTCCAGAAGGCTGTTCCTCACCTGTCCAGGCATCTTGGCTCCGCCCACTCACTGCTGTCTGCATGTCGTTCTGGTTCTTTCTGATGAGACCCGTTGGACCCTCTTCTAGATATCTCTGCTGATTCAATTTTAGGTTTTTTATTTATTGATTTCAGCTGTTGTGATTTTATGTTCTTTTCTATTCCCAGCCAGCTGGGACTTTATATTTCTGATACTTTAAGATGCTTATTTAATCAGATATTGTTTTGGCTGTTATATACTGTTTATGACACACAGCCCTACTAACTGTGTGTTAGATCAATAGATGAAAGAGTGATTTGAGCTCTAATCGTGGTCAAACAGTTAATTCTGCACAAACGTGGAATAAATTCACAACAACTTCTGTTCAAAATATAAGAGTTTATTAAGAAAAATCATTCAGCTCCAAGTCAAACATATTTCACTTTAACACTCTTAAGACTAGTAAAACTCAACTTAACTAACCCACTAAGTACAAAGGGGAAGGGAAACATGGTTGAAAACTATATTACAGTTTAAGATGGATTTTGAATTTGAAAACCAAAGTTTATCTGGAAGAATTTGGGATATGATCAAATGAGCTTTTTAACTTTAGTCAAATGATTCTTTACCCTCTTTGAAACAGCTAGCAGTGAATAGACATCAGGCTTCCACTAAATGACTCTTGGTCATACTTTCTAATGAAAATGTAATGAGCATCTGAGGAACACATGAACACTAATGTTATATCAGTGTTTAACCCTTAGTGAATAAAGCTTGTCTAAGCTTTAGCAACAGCTCAACACATGTTTCTGTATAGCATAGCATAGCGTAGCATGCAGTCCATCCTGTTAGCATCGTCTTTACTCATCAGTAAACACATGAAATAATCAAAAGACATATTGTTTGTCCAACCTTTGCTTTTATTTTAATCAGAATAAAAGTCTGTTTCTGGAATATATCCAACCAATAACTCATCATTCAGCTAAAAGGTTCTTAGTCCCAAAAATAAAACTTGTTTTTTATTCCAAAAAATTTTCAATCAAAAAAGTTGTGCCACACCATGCATGGCACAGCAGGGGTCCGTCTGGATTTTTAAAATTTAAACATCTATAACTTCTCGATTGCCTGTTGTATGGACAGCAAACTAGCTTCATCTGTAACCAAGATGTTTTAGATGAAATGTTGTTGTTGCACTTTATTGTTTATTCCCTTTATAACAGAAAAGGTAAAAACATTTGTGAATGTAAACATCTTTTTGTTAGGAAGTTTTTTTGGCCATTTAAACTTTCTCAGACCCAAAATAATTAACTTTCAGATGTTCACATCCACATTTTCGCCCAGGACCTGAATATTTACCAGGTTTACATTATAACACCTTATCTGTTCTAGTTTCTATGTGAAATGAGCTTTATTAATTAACCGCTTCATCAAAACTTTGCTCAAAAGATCATTAACTGTGGGTTTCTCATGTAATGAGGTATTTTCTTTTTATCACCATTCAAACATAGAAAACGCCTTACTGTTCATTCCTGCGGCGTCTAACTGCTGTGACTTATATGGAACAAATGTGTAAAAAAAATATACATATAAATCATTCCACATCCTGCATGAATAAATGTCACCTGAAGACTCAAATTAAGTTCTTGTTTAAAACCGTTCTCACAAATGTATGCGATTGATGTGTGAATCAAGACTAGATTTCCGAGTGAAGCGTTTTCCACAGGACAGACATAAAAAGGGTTTCTCACCTGTGTGAAATCTCATGTGTCTATCAAGATAAGATTTCATAGTAAAGCTTTTTCCACAGGACAGACATTCAAAAGGTTTCTCCCCTGTGTGGAATCTCATGTGTCTATCAAGATAAGATTTCATAGTAAAGCTTTTTCCACAGGACAGACATTCAAAAGGCTTCTCACCTGTGTGAATTCTCATGTGTCTATCAAGATAAGATTTCATAGTAAAGCTTTTTCCACAGGAAAGACATTCAAAAGGCTTCTCACCTGTGTGGAATCTCATGTGTTCATCAAGACTAGATTTCTGAGTGAAGCGTTTTCCACAGGACAGACATAAAAAGGGTTTCTCACCTGTGTGAATTTTAATGTGTTTAGTCAAATGACTTTTTTCAGTAAACTTCTTGTTACAAATGGTACAGGAAAAAGGCTTCTCACCTGTGTGAAATCTCATGTGTCTATCAAGATAAGATTTCATAGTAAAGCTTTTTCCACAGGACAGACATTCAAAAGGCTTCTCACCTGTGTGGAATCTCATGTGTCTATCAAGATAAGATTTCATAGTAAAGCTTTTTCCACAGGACAGACATTCAAAAGGCTTCTCACCTGTGTGAATTCTCATGTGAATATTAAGATCAGACTTGGAGGTGAAGATTTTTCCACATGACAGACATTCAAAACGCTTCTCACCTGTGTGGAATCTCATGTGTTTATCAAGATCAGATTTCTTTTTGAAAATTTTTCCACAGGACAGACATTCATGAATCTTCTGACCTTTGTGAGTTCTTATGTGAACCATTAAATGTTCTTTATTTAGAAAAGTTTCTCCACATGTCAAACATGGGAAAGGTTGCTGCTCTTCATGCTCACTAATGGGGAGCTCCATGGTTTCCTCTTTTGTCCAGGGATGTTCTGGTTCTTGCTGCTCTTCTTTTATCTGCAGAGGTTCTGGTTCCTCTTGGTCCAAACTGGAATTCCTCTCCTGTCCACAGAGCTGCTGGTCTGAGAAATCTTCCTCTTTTCCAGCATAATCCTGCAGGCGGTCTGGAAAGACAAACACAGCAGACAGACTAAGTATTGCAAGTTAAAGAAAGGACACCTCACATAAAAGCACCAAACTCTGTCCTTCAGTTTGGGGGGAAAGTTGATCCTTTAATCATCATTGTGTCAATCTAACTACATACAAACAGACTGGAACTACATCTCCCATCATGCAACCTGATAGTACAGTCACAGGTTTGGACCTCCACTTTTATCTTTAATAGGGGTGGGTTAAAAAAAAAAATCGATTGAATCGATTTTGGATCGATTCCAGTAAAATTTTACAAAATCGATGTGTAGGGAATGAGATCGATTAGTTTTATAGAGACGTGAGTGACGTTGACGTACAAGAGCAGGCGTGGGCAAATGCAAAATGGCCGACGCAAGTAACACACCACTCAGCAAGCCGTCCCAATTAAAGTCTGACGCCTGGAACCATTTCGGATTTAAAAGAACTAAAGACAATGTGGTGGATGAAGCCAAAGTCGTCTGCAAGATCTGTCAAGCGGAGGTCAGTTACTGTCAATAAACTACAAATCTCCAAAATCACCTGACAAGATATCATGCTATGCTAAATGTTGTGACCAGATGGAACAGTGTATCGGACATGCTGGAGCGCTTTTTAGAGCAACAACCAGACATCTCTGCTACTCTCCTTTCTCAAGACGTGAGCAGGAATGAAAAAGATTTGTGCTCCCTAACAGAGGAGGATGTAACAATTGCTGAGGATTTGTTACATCCTGACAAACTGATGAAAGAAGCTTCTTTGGCGATGTCAGAGGACAAGCAACCAACTCTGTCCATCATCGCCTCACTGCTCGCTAGGGTTGGGAATTGAAAAGATTTTCACGATTCCGATTCCCTTTTCGATTCTATGAAACGATTCGATTCTTAATCTATTCTTTTTTCGATTCCAATTTGGGGGAAAAAGGAGAACAAACAGTTTGATTATCAGAATCAACTTTGTTTACTTAACTATTGCACAATCTTACAAACTCAAAAAGATCAAGATGTCCACAGGAAATGTGAAACTGGAGTAACATCTGTGTTTAAATGAAAAATGAATACAAGAACAAACTTAATAACCAACAATGTCTAATAACAAATGATGGGATAATAACCTATTTTAAATAACAAAAAATACTAATTATAAAACAGTAGTAGGGAAAATTAACAGTTCTTTTGCAGAAAGATGAGCATATCTGCTTTTTCTGGAAGGATACGGGATCTTTCAGCGCTTATGGTGTCTCCAGCCGTGGAGAACACCCTCTCAGATGGGGTGGAGGAAGCCTGCACACAGAGGTAGTTTTCAGCCAGTCCAGATAGCAAGGGCAGCGTATCTTGCTTGTTCCACCACCACAGTGTGGCGCTATCCCTGCAGGGGATGGAGGGCAAGCTTTTATAGAGCTGGATTTCCTGATCTACCCTCTGGGCTAAGGAAAGACGGGGCTTTGATTCACAAAGTGACCGCAGCACGTTGTCTTCCTCCTCGAATAGTTCTTCCAACTTGCGTAACTTGCGTAACTTGCGTAAGTTGCGTAACTTACGTAAAAAACGTGACGTAAGTCGTGCTCCCCAGAGCCGGCGCTCTCGGCTCTGGTGCTGCGGGAATCGAAAAAAGAATCATTCAGCGAGCTGCCAAACGATGCCATGGAATCGAAAAATACGAAACCGGTTCTGAACAGGAACCGGTTTTCGATTCCCATCCCTACTGCTCGCCCTGCTTTAGATGCCTTCACCCCCAGTGAAGCAACATTAATTAGCTTGAAGCTGACTAACTCTGAGACTGACACACTTGTATATGTCCCAAATCTTCATTTGAGACTCCTCTATAGATGATCTACTTCATTATAATATCTATTGACCATAGCTCTAACAATGTGGCTAAAACAGTTGGAGTTTTGGTGGGCCTGGTTTCAACAGCATACATAGAAAACGCCTCCACTGTTCATTCCTGTGGCGTCTAACTGCTGTGACTTATATGAAAAATTTTTTTTAAAAACTATACATATAAATCATTCCACATCCTGCATGAATAACTGTCACCTGAAGACTCAAATTACCTTCTCTTTTAAAACCTTTGTCACAAATGTATGTGATTGATGTGTGTATCAAGACTAGATTTCTGAGTGAAGCTTTTTCCACAGGACAGACATAAAAAAGGTTTCTCCCCTGTGTGAATTCTCATGTGTGCATCAAGATTAAAAGGGCTTCTCACCATTTGTGAATTTTAATATGTCTACTCAAATGAATTTTTTCAGTAAACTTCTTACAAATGGTACAGGAAAAAGTAGGGATGCACGATATAATTGGCCCCCTATCTGTATTGGCCTATATCGGCCTTAAAGGAATAGTACACCCAAAACATGATTAGCCTTCATTTTCTACTCACCCACATGCTGAACAACACTCTGGAGTACTTTTTTGATATCTCAAATGCATCTGGAGATCTGGGAGGCTTCTTGCTGTCTGCTGACATTCAAATAATGGAGGTCTATGGTGCCCGAGACAGAAAGGTCCATAAAGTCCACAAAAAACGTGTCAATATTCCTCCATACTGGTCGTCCAATGTATTCCAAGTGTCCTGAGTGGGTAGCATCCAGAATTTACTCGAAACGAAGTCATTTAGAATGTTTTTAGAGCATAAACAGTAGTGTATAGGATTTCCTGAAAGCGCGCACATGCGCGATCACGACGCTACGGAAGCTGGCAGACCAAACCAGATGAAAGTGCGCATTCAGCGTCTGCTCTTCCAATAATGCAAGCGTAGAAGAAGAAATGTGCCGTTTACCTGTGCAAAGAAAGAAACAACGAAAGAAAAATGTCTGAGGACTTCAGTGTTGAGGAAGAGCATGAGTTCTTTGCCGAGCTGAATGCGCTGGTTTGGTCTGCCGGCTTCCATAGCATCATGATCGCGCATGTGCGCGCTTTCAGGAAATCCTATACACTACTGTTTATGCTCTAAAAACAATCTAAATGACTTCGTTTCGAGTAAATTCTGGATGCTACCCACTCAGGACACTTGGAATACATTGGACGAGCAGTATGGAGGAATATTGAAACGTTTTTTGTGGACTTTTATGGACCTTTCTGTCTCGGGCACCATAGACCTCCATTATTTGAATGTCAGCAGACAGCAAGAAGCCTCCCAGATCTCCAGATGCATTTGAGATATCAAAAAAGTACTCCAGAGTGTTGTTCAGCATGGGGGTGAGTAGAAAATGAAGGCTAATCATGTTTTGGGTGTACTATTCCTTTAAAACTGAGTATCGGACATCGGCCACCCCACCGATATTCAACCGATCAGGTCGCTGTTTGGTAATGAACCTGCTGTATGTTTTTTCCCCTGTCCTCCTTCCTCTGCCGCCCACACCCCTCCCGCGCAAGGATACAAACGTCACAACGCCATGTTCACCGGTGCACCTTTATCACGTCTGGGCAGGTACTGTAGCAGATGAAAACAAAATGTCGGCGGTGTGGATGTTTTTTAAGGAATCGGAAACAGATAGCAAAACTGCTATTTGCAATGACTGCTCAGCATCAGTGATGGAGGATTTAAAACCAAGTCTTTCAACACCACTAACCTGATTAACCATCTCAATAGCCGTCATCCTGACGACCGTTACACAGAGTTCTTGGCGGCGAGAAAGGAAAAAGAGAAGCAGGTTACCAGCGGCGGCGTATCGAAGCTTCTCCAGCAGCAGTCTCTCCATCAAGCCTTGGATAAATCCAAGAAATTCATCCGCGATCAACCAAGGGCAAAAGGCATCTCTCAGAAACTGATGGAGTGGATTGCTCTGGATAACCAGCCTTTTTCATTCGTTGAAGACGTTGGATTCAGGAGATTTTTGGAATACGTTGAACCTCGCTACACGGTCCCCAGTCGGAGGTATTTTTCGGATGTAGCCTTGCCAGAGTTGCAAGCGGAAATTTCCACCCGCATTGAGAAGCTAATTGCCGATTGCACTTGGGTGAGTTTCACCACAGACATCTGGACATCAAGTGTTAGCCCTGTAAGCATGCTAAGTCTTACAGCACAATGGATTAACAAAAACTTCGAGCTTAAAAAGGCTGTTCTTCATGCGCAAGAGTGCAGAGGATCCCAAACCGCAGCTGCGCTCACATCTGCTTTTGAAGGCATGCTTGAAAGGTGGAAAATTCCAAAGGAGAATGTGCACGTTGTTGTGAGGGACAATGCGCGTATTGTGACTAAGGCATTGATGGACTTGGGTGTACCAAGTTTGCCGTGCATGGCACATAGCTTGCAGCTCGCCGTGAATGAAGGCATGCTGTCTCAGCACAGCATCTCAGACGTTGTAGCCGTGGCTAAGAAAATAGTTGGGCACTTCAAACATTCACAACTTGCCTGCAGTCGACTTGAAGATGTACAGAATGAGCTTGGGATGCCTATTAAAAGGCTTCAACAAGACGTGTCCAAGCGGTGGAATTCGACTTTTTACATGATGCAGAGCCTGGTGGAGCAGAAGAGAGCTTTGGGTGCGTATGCTGCTGATTTTGACCTCCCAGTGACTCTGACGGCAAACCAGTGGGGAATTCTTGAAAATATGATCACCCTACTTGCACCCTTCGAGCAACTGACCAGAGAGATCAGTTCTGCACAGGCATCTGTTTCAGAGGTCATCCCAGCGGTAATGGCATTGATTCGGCTGCTGAGCAAGACAAGTGAGTCAGACAGAGGTGTGCAGACAGCCAAAAGTACTCTGCTGGAAGCTGTCCGTGCTCGCTTTGATGGTGTGCAAAGAAAAGCATTTTTATGCTGTTGCAACCATGCTGGATGCAAGATTTAAAGATCGTTACTTTGACAGAGAAATGAAGGAGGGAGCGCACAACCTGTTACTAAGCGCCATCAATGAAATGGGTCACAGCGTCAGAGATGGTAGTGAGCACGGAGATGCCAGTACAGATGACCTCCCACCAAAGAAGAAGGCCCGAAATGGATCACTGTTGGACATGTACGACGAAATCATCGAAGAGAGCATTTCCCCAGAGCACGCCTCCACAAGCGAGACAGCATCACAGGTGAATAAACTAAGAATAATTACTAATGTAAAGTTAAGTAAATGCATAAAAAAGATTTGCACTTTATTGTACTGTTTGTGCTTGCAATAAAATTTCATATTTGCTTTCTTTTTTGTTTTAAAAGGTACACATATACCTGGGTGAACCCACCATTCCCAGAACTGCCAGTCCTTTGGAGTACTGGAATTCCAACTAGGCCCACTTCCCAGCTCTTGCCCAGGTTGCATGCAAGTACCTCAGTGCACCCAGCTCTAGTGTTGACAGCAAACAGCTGTTCAGTGCTGTTTCACATATCAACCTCATAGCTTGTGAAAAGGCAGAGATGCTTATTTTTGTCCAAAAAACCTGCCTCTCACACTGGACTTTTAGATTATTTACATTTGCCTGTCAGTCTTTAAGTATTTTTCTACGGACTTTAAAAGGGCAGGATGTGTTGTTACGGAGGACCAAAACTGTTACTAGTGTATGTTACTTATTTACATTTTTGCACATGTTATTTGCACATCACCTACTCTGTTATGCAATGTTTGGAGTTGAAATAGTGCTGTGAACACTGAACTGGACAAAGAACTGAAGCTGACAACATTTTTGCAGTTTTCAGTTTGTTTGCACTGAGCAGATTTAAGATTTGAGTTAGTCATTTTTAAATTGTACCAGCATAATCAGCTTTGTTTTCAGTCTATTTTGAATTTAAGTGATTGTCTGTCCAGCACATCTGGCCATAAACTGATATAGATTCACTATCGGAGATATCTGTTGTTTTATTTGTGTTTGCAGAATACTTATACAATGCACTTCTCTCTATGTTCTGTGTGGACAGAGTTTATACACAATCATTTGTGTAATAACCAAATATCCATGTTTTTAGGTTAGTTTTTTTCTCAGTGAAAAGAAACTCCAGGTTGTTCTAGGATAAAACGCACATTTCCTATTTGTTTTGTTAAAACAACTGTCATTAAATCTAACTTGTTATACATAACACAAGTTGGAGTATTTTTCTAATTTTGCACAAGGAATGAATATTACATGATTTATTTTTCAGTTTTAATATCGGTATCGGTTATCGGCCGCATGCATTTGAAAATATCGGCATATCAGATATCGGCCAAAATTCCAATATCGTGCATCCCTAGGAAAAAGGATTCTCCCCTGTGAGAATTCTCATGTGTCTATCAAGATCAGATTTCTGACAGAACATTTTTCCACAGGACATTCATAAATCTGACCTGTGTGAGTTCTCATGTGAACCATTAAATGTTCTTTATTTAGAAAAGTTTCTCCACATGTCAAACATGGGAAAGGTTGTTGCTCTTCATGCTCACTTATAGGGAGCTCCATGGTTTCCTCTTTTGTCCAGGGATGTTCTGGTTCTTTCTGCTCTTCTTTTATCTGCAGAGTTTCTGGTTCCTCTTGGTCCAAACTGGAATTCCTCTCCAGTCCACAGAGCTGCTGGTCAGAGAAATCCTCCTCTTTTCCAACATAATCCTGCAGGTGGTCTGGAAAGACAAACAGCAGACAGACTTATTATTGCAAGTTAAAGAAAGGACACCTCACATAAAAGCACCAAACTCTGTCCTTCAGTTTGGGGGGCAAGTGGATCCTTTAATCATCATTGTGTCAATCTAACTACATACAAACAGACTGGAACTACATCTCCCATCATGCAATCTGATAGTACAGTCACAGGTTTGGACCTCCACTTTTATCTTTAATAGGGGTGGCTTAAAAAAATCAATTTAATCGATTTTGGATCAATTCCAGTAAAATTTTACAAAATCGATGTGTATGGAATGAGATCGATTAGTTTTTTAGAGACGTGAGTGACGTTGACGTACAAGAGCAGGCGTGGGCAAATGCAAAATGGCCGACGCAAGTAACACACCGCTCAGCAAGCCGTCCCAATTAAAGTCTGATGCCTGGAACCATTTCGGATTTAAAAGAACTAAAGACAATGTGGTGGATAAAGCCAAAGTGGTCTGCAAGATCTGTCAAGCGGAGGTCAGTTACTGTTAATAAACTACAAATCTCCAAAATCACCTGACAAGATATCATGCTATGCGAAAATCTGACAACAAAGCTTCCAGAGCTACACAAAAAAAAAATGGAGGGATTCGATAGCGTTACCAGCAAATTCTCCGCAGCCCATTAAGATAACTCAGGTCATCGCAACTTTTGAGTGCAAAGATTTACGGCCCTACTCTGTGGTGGAAAATGAAGGCTCGTTCATGTGCTCCAACCACACTATGTCATGGTGCAACGCAAACATCTGACTGACACCGTTATCCCCATGATGTAAACACGATTGAAAGGGGACATCAAAATTAAAATGCAGTTAGCAGAGTCAGCATAACTTGTGACACATGGACATCACTGTCAACGCAGTCCTGCATGACACTACATTGACAATGAGTGGCGCCTCATGTCTCATGTCCTACAGACCACTGAAGTTACCTTGAGCCACACTGCTGCAAGTATTGCTAATATGTTGACGGGGGCCATACAGAAATGGGGGCTGAGCAGCAAACACCCAGCAGTTGTCATGGACATTGCTGCAAATATGGTTCGTGCAGTGGAAACAACGCATTCATTCATTCATGATTAAAAGATTGGATTACAAAGAAAATTACTTAATTTAAGAGCTAAAGTAGGCCCAATTTTTTATTTTTTTTTTGTCCAATTGAACAGCAAGATAATAATGGCAATGATACGGATGAAAAAACAAATGAAGCTTTGCCCAAGAAGCCAAAGAAATCCAGCACCTTGGTGTCTCTCCTTGGGACAGTTTATTTACCAACAGTAAAGGATCCCGGACTAAAAACTCCAGCAATAAGGGCTGAAGATTTAGTCAGAAGATGCAAAGCTGAATCTCCTGCAGGGCTGAATGAGAATCCTCTGATCGGGTGGAAAGCAAATGAAAGGGAGAATCCACTGTTGGCTCGCCTTGCAAAGGCTTATCTTTGTGTCTCAGGGACCAGTATCACATCAGAGAGGTGTTGGGATATATTGCCACAATGGAGCCAAATCAATTGGATGAACCATCTAAAACCATCCAACTTTTCTTTTTTCACAAAGAGATCTGCTCTGACACACCCTTGCCACAAAGGCAGCTGTACAGCCAACAATGGGACACTGGTGAGCGGTACCGCCCTGAGCCGAGGCCATGGCCTAATGGCTACGGAGTAACAGGCCCACCAGTGCACCATGAGCGGCCTCACATGCCTTCACGGAGGTCAGAGCAGAGCTTTCCACCCTACCACGACAGTAGCTGGCTAGAGCTCTCAGATGAGGATTCAGATGGCCCAGCTCCAATCCCAGAACGGGATTATGAATGTGACAACTTGAATCCCTCGCCCATGACATAGAGTGTTTTGACCCCAGCAACACTGAATCCACAATTGAAGACTACCTTAGAGAGGTAGAACGCTGTCTTTTAGACTTACCCCATCCCTCTACCCAGGAGCAGTTAATCTGGAAAACTACTTCAAGAAGCGTGCCTGTGTTCATAGAGAGCCTCCAGCCCTCTGTTCGAGACCACTATTCCTCTCTTTGTCAAGCTGGAGGAAGACCACTCACTAAAATATCTTTTCCTCCACAATCTTCACGACAAAAATGGATCATGCAATCGTGATACTGGCCCCCAAGAAAGGAGAGCTTTCCAGCATTGGAGGACTTCACAGAATAGAGAAGTTGGGGTTTCAAACCCCAGTTGAACATGAAAATCCTCCAGGAAAACCTGACCTGAAGCCTTCACCAGCATGACTAGGCAGGGACTTACCTTCCACAACTTCCTTATTACACTTAGTGGAAAAGGAAGGTCCAGGTAGAAAGCCCCCACAATCCCCTCAGATCTTTTCACAGAATAGAGAAGTTGGGGTTTGAAGTCTCAAACCCCAGTTGAACATGAAAATCCTCCAGGAAAACCTGACCTGAAGCCTTCACCAGCATGACTAGGCAGGGACTTACCTTCCACAACTTCCTTATTACACTTAGTGGAAAAGGAAGGTCCAGGTAGAAAGCCCCCACAATCCCCTCAGATCTTTTCAGGAAAGACCTCCATTTTGGTCCACCTCTTTTCAGAGAAGACCAATCCCCACTCATCATCCCTACCAGGAAGTCAGCGACATTTCTCAGGATGTAAGATCAGAAAATGGGTCTTACTTAGACTGGGTAACCGGTTCTGGCCTGTTGAGGTCAGCTGCTGCCCATAGCTCACCTGCAGAGGTCCAGGGAGGCTGCAAAGCAGCCTGACATGCTCCCCAGCAGGTGACACATCAATTGTCTCCATAATCTGACAGCAAACAGGTGCGTTCCTCAGAACATTCCGTCTGCTGTCAGCTCCCATCATCAGCCCCTTTGGAACAAACTCCTCCTAAGCAAAGGGGGGGTTACATCCACTTGGCTCAATTTACAGATGAACTGGATCAGACCAGTTCTCATCCCGATAGAAGGTACTCAACGTCTTGCATTTGTAACATTCTTCTCCATAGAGGTGAGTATTGGCATGAGTGTTGCGATTCGATACATTTCACGATACTTGAGTCACGGTACGATATTATCACAATATTGCAGTATCGCTATATATTGCCATATTTTCCCCAGCTATCAAAATCAAATGATGAGATAAAACAGCAAGTGCTGTATATTTTCATCAGAAAATATTGATTAGGTTTTATTATCCATGTTGTTTGGGGTTTTCTTCCACTGTGACTGCCTCAAATACAGATTTGGTGCTGCACGCACAGTTAAAGGGCTCCACAGCGCTTTCTGCCAGAGTGGTGGTGCAGAGGTAGCCCATTTTCCCATCAATGTTTAATGTAACCATTTTTTTTTTAAATCGATACTAAGAAGTTAAAGATCGATATTATATTGGGCAGCCGAATATCACGATATATCGCCAAAACGACTATTTCCCACACCCCTAATAGACAGGTAGGTAGAATTAAAAATGCAACCAAGAATCCACTTCTGCCCGTGGAATGGAGTGTGCCTCCATTCTTAAAAACACATGTGCATAGTACTGTTGGAGTTATTATGATTTCTGTTGTTTTTATCATTTTATTCATTATTATGTTTTATATTGCTCTCAATCATTTGTTTTTCTATGTTACTCTCATCACTGGAAATAGTGTATGCAGGTCATAAGATGGTCACATGTTTTGCAAGAATGCTTTCGTGTTTTTCATTAGAGAAGCACAGAGTTCCTGTTTTTCATTTAAGAAGCACAGAAGTCGAAGTTCATAACCCCGACACCTTTTATAAAGCGTATACTGAAACCAGACAAGCTCCCTATCTTAAAACTTCATGCTATGTCTAAGAGATTGCGTAATCAAAACTAACGCCTGCTGTTGTAATGTGTTGACTACTCAATAAAAAGCCCAGCAAGTGTCGAGCCAAGCGGAGATGCAGAGAGTGATTCTTCAACTTTTGCTTTGCAAAGCATTACAGGAAAAATCTTACACTGTCTTTCTTTCATTTTTTATAGGTTAAAGTTGGGGAAACTTAACAACCCTAACATCTTGGTGCCGTGACCCGGATCCCAACATACCCGCTCGCTGACGGAGGGAGGAAGACACGCTGAAAACTACCGGTAGTCAGTGTCCCATCAGAGGGGGCCTGTTTCAAAGTCCCGGGAAGTGAATTCTTCGCCAGACCAGCGCCGTAGGTCGAACTCCTTCTGCCATTGACAGATTGACGGGATCCAACACCAGAACAAGGACAGGCAAACCAAGTAAGATTTTTGCCTTTTTTGGGTAAGAGTCCCATGCACTCTAGGGGGGTTGCCCAAGCTTGGATGTGGCTTCAGTTGGTTGCAGGCAGCTGTGGCAGGTTAATCCATCATATTTTGTTAACAGGCTGTTAACTTAGCGTATAACATATTTATAACTTATAACTAACTTATATAGCTTGTAACCTATATCGTGAGATTACTTGTCACTTGCTTGTTGTCGGTTTGAGCAGTTCCTTTGAGTTTGAGCTTTTAGGAGTGTAGTGGGTAAAGGTACCAAGGGACTCACAGAGTTGAGGTCCCTGATAAAAGTGCTCTCTGAGCAAGGCCGATGGAGCCATAAGGTAAAGGTACCAAGGAAATAAAAGGGTTGAAGTCCCTGAGAGAAGCGCTTTTGGAACAAGGCTGTTGGAGCCCTAAGGATACCTAGGTTATGGGATTGCAGTCCCCAGTGTGCGCAAAATAGAAGTGTAAACCGGTTATAGATATAATAATAATAATAATAATAATAATAATAATAATGAAAATAATAACACAACACAGAGTAGTGAAATAAATAATAAAACATAAAAAGAAATAAAATAAAATAAAAAATAGGCCTAAATAAAAATAAAAAAAAAATCTTAAAAAATAAAAAAGGGAAAACCTCAAAGCAAAGTACCTTTGCATGAAGGAGATGAAAAATATATGGGTCAAATAAACCCAGACCACTTAAAATATCTTGATAAATGGAAAAGAAAATATGGAGTTAGTGGAAAATTAACAGTTGACCAGTGGCAAACTGTGGTGCAAAAACTAGAAATTAGTGTCAGCACTAAAAATGGGAAAAAGAAAAAAGAAAAAGAGGACCAGTTAAAACTTGCAAAAAGCTGGTTAGAGCAGGCCCAAAACTGGCATGAGGCAATAAAAAAAGCAAAACAAAATAGAGATAAGTCTCTGCCTCCCTATTCTGATCAACAAAATCAGGTGACGTTTGTCCGTCCAGAGGACAATGAAATTGTTCAAAGAAGGCCTACTGCCCCTCCAGCTAACCTGGAGTCAGGAGACATGCCGCAAAGTAATGAAACTGGAGCTGTTGCTGCTCCAGAACCATCAACAGCAGCAAAACAAGAAGTAAAATGTGAACAGAAATACCAGCATGTTTACGATACCCGACTAAGGCTGAAAACTGAAGACTCCACCCACCAGTCTCCTTATAAAAAATTAGCTACAGAACTCAGTGAACTGTCTGAGGAATTTGATAGAATAAAGCCTCTGATAGAAGTCCCAAATACCCTATCCAACAATGCACAGGACAGAACAATGCTAGTGTTCAGGCCATGGACTTTAAATGAAGCAAAAAGTGCAGTTGAAGGTCTCACTAGTCCACAGGAGGATGTTGAACAGTGGATTTTAGGAATGGAAGGAATTTATATGTCCTACAAACTAAATGGACAAGAATTTGGACAAGCACTGTTTTGTGCTGTTGGTCCTACTCTGTGGGGACAAATAGGTAGCCAGTACACAGGGAGAGATCAAAATGGTGGAGTTAATCCTTATGGCCAAGGAGATCTCAATGGAACAGTTATAACAGCTTTACAGCCTCAGTGGGCTGCTTTTTGCAATGCCATGCACACTGAGTTTAAAAAGAGGGCTGATAATGCCCATTTGTCCACTGTATTACAAAAATCAGGAGAAAATGTGGATGATTACAAAATTAGATTAGAAAGAGAATTCAGAGCTCACAGTGGCATTCCTTATGATGCTGATAAGGACAGTACTTATCAGGCACAGCCTAAAAATGGTTTAATGAATGGGTTCCAGGCACACATTAGTTCCTGGATCAGAAAGCATTTGGTAGAGCACAGAACAGCTGATGTTGTGAGGATAATGGAGTACGCTAGACATGCAGCAGAAGTTACCAAGGAAAAGGGAAGTGGAACTGCAGGCAGAGAAGTGTTTTACACTAACCTAGATGAGTTAGAAGTGTTTGTGAGAGAAAACAGAGGCAGAGGTTGTTGAATCTCCTTGTAAAGTGATAAAAGCAAGGCAAATTCAGTCTGTTCACTCAGCAAAGGCGGCTGAGCTTTTTGCTCTGATTAGAGCTTGTACGTTAGCTAAAGGTCAAAAGGTTACCATCTACACAGACAGTCAGTATGCCTTTTCCACTATCTTCTTTTTTGCTAAACAATGGGACAGAAGAGGAATGATTACTGCTACGGGCAAAACAATAACACATGCCAGTTTACTGAAGCAGCTTCTCCAAGCTTTACTACTACGACAAAACATAGCCTTGTGTAAATGCAGTTTCCTGCGGTAACAGACTTGCAGATGAATCCGCAAAACAGGCAGCGTCAGGGGTTTTTGGTATGTCTGATATGTTTCAGACTTAAGAAATGCATGGAAGAAACAGGAAGGCCTTGGCCAGAATGTTTAGACTTAGTTAAACTGTATATGAGAATCACACCTACAGGAATAGGGTTGACTCCTTTTGAAATCATTCATGGAAGACCTTATAGAATCCCACTATTCCAAGCAGACCTAGACAAAGCAGAAGAAGAAGGAACTTTAGTCGACTATATGAGAAAAGTATTGCAGGAAAAAGAAGTGTCAAAAGCAAGTTTACTGCTGAATGGTTCTGTCTCCCAACAGGAACCACTCAGCATTAAGCCAGGAGACTGGGTGTTCATCAAAGTTGTTAAATGGAAAAACTGGTCCAGTCCACGTTGGCAGGGTCCCTACCAAGTTCTTCTTACAACCCCTACGGCAGTGAAGATCGCTGAAAGAGACTCTTGGATACACCTCAGCCACTGTAAGTTGCAGCGAGTGCTGGATTCCTAGTTGGAATGGTGGGGAAGACCAACTTCAAAGGGGTTTGGTTAATTAGGGCCACTCGTCTCAATGTTGGTGAAGCAATCAACGATCCCCGTTCTGTAGTGTCCTAGGATAAATCCGGTGTCACTGTAACTGAGCAGAAAATGGGGCACTCATGGAGATGGGGTCTTCTCTGTGCTATGCTTCAATACCAGTTGCTACGTGATGCTGAACCTCTGGAGCAAGAAACAGCTTTTAATCAAAAAAGAAAATAAATGGACATAAATTATTATAATTATTGCCATTATTATAATTTATAAATAATAAAAGAGTGACAGACCCACCGAAAATGCAAAAAGCAAGTGGTGGAAATCCTGAAGTAAGATGTGTTACCTCATATGAATAAAATGTAAAACAAGAGGGAGATGTTGGAGTTATTATGATTTCTGTTGTTTTTATCATTTTATTCATTTAGATGTTTTATATTGCTCTCAATCATTTGTTTTTCTATATGTTACTCTCATCACTGGAAATTAAAAGTTCTTTCTGTTGCTCAATAAAAGTATGTTTTAAGATCATTTGAGGCGAGAATATTATACTTTAAAGTGTCACTATATGGTCCATTTAACGATATAATGCGTAATTAAAAAAACAATTTTCGAAGTTCAGAGGACAGCGGCAACCAGTGGAGCTCCGAGGCTAACGGTAGCAAGGACTAACAGCAGCCAGGGCTAACGGTAGCAAGGACTAACAGCAGCCAGGGCTAACGGCAGCCAGGGCTAACGGCAGCCAGGGCTAACGGCAGCCAAGGCTAACGGCAGCCAGGGCTAACGGCAGCCAGGGCTAACGGCAGCCAAGGCTAACGGCAGCCAGGGCTAACGGCAGCCAGGGCTAACGGCAGCCAGGGCTAACGGCAGCCAGGGCAAAAGGCAGCCAGGGCTAACGGCAGCCAAGGCTAACGGCAGCCAAGGCTAACGGCAGCCTATCTGCAGCGGCCCTCTCTCGGAATAGTCGTGTGTGAAGGACCGCTGGCTCTGATGGTGATTTTTGACTCAGCTTTGGAATCAGGTTTGGAAAGATTAGACTTTGGGTTTTTGTTGAAACGTGAGCAGGAAGAGGCTCTACGCTCATTCATTTTTAAGAAGGACATATTCACCGTTTTACTGACAGGCTGTTTGTTTACACTCCGCCACCAGCTTGCTGTCGTGCTTCCTACGTCACAGTCAGTTGCTCTCATTGGTCAGAGCGTTGGCCAGCAGCAGATAAATCAATTACATTTGGTGTAATTTTATTCAGGCAGAGCAGCCCCAAAGCAGGGTTTTGAGTGCCTTACTAGCAGGACGCAAATATGGCTCCTTCATTAACTGACTGTTAATTAACAAACATGTCTTCAGTAGTGCGGTTATTTTTTCTTGGTTTGCTAAGAAAGCCAAGAGGAGGAAAAAGGTTGTAGGTTTTTTAACACGGTTATTTTTTCTTGGTTTGCTAAGAAAGCCAAGAGGAGGAAAAAGGTTGTAGGTTTTTTAACACAGCAAACCTAATAGCTCACCTGAAATGTCACCTGTGGCTGTTTTTAAGTGCTTAAATAAAATTGGATTGGATGTTTTTTAACTCTGATTTGGTTCTTCTGCAGCGGATCTCCTACCGTTTCCATGGCAGCCACCAGACACTTCACCATCATCTGAACCGTGTGAATGCATCTTTGCATAAATGTTAACTCACTTATGAGATAAATAGGAGACATTATTATCAAGTTAACCGGTAGCCACACTGCCCGCTCTGGTTGAACACAGAGAACAAGGAAGCTCCACCTTTATTGCTTTTATAAACACGTAGCCTTCCGCTTTACAAAGTAGTGCCAAACAAATATACAACAGTGGCAGGCATCGTACTCGACACTCTGTCACTTACTCTATTATCTTTATAAACTTTCTAAGGTCCACATAGTGTGAGCACTGTTGCTGTAATCTGTTGCTGCTATAACTCCACTATTTCCCCACAGTGGGCCAACAAAGGGAGTTTCTATTCTATGTAGTGTATATCTGCTGTTTATTTAGTAATGTCTTCCAAAGCTCTGATGCCTTCATGAAGTTCTCCCTCCAGCCCCGATGTCAACAGTCTGTTGATTTAAACTAAACTCCGCTGCAGTGCTGAGGCATCCTTCTACTGTTCTGCTTAAAGCAGCAGGTTAGGGCAGCAGGATGACCTCCCCAAGATGGCGCCCGTAATGTCTGCGCAGAGACAGTCAATGCGGGGTCTACTCTAATATTATCTCTATGGTAGAGACGGCTTTCTGTGATTGCAGTGAACTCGGAGCGAAGAAGAGGTTTAACCGGAGAAAATTACTAACTTGACCGCAGTCATTAAAACCCAATGCTGGAAGTGACCGAGCTGACCGCAGTAAGATGGCCGCCGAGCGGTAGTTATCTTTAGCTTAGCGTGTTGATCTCCTCTAAGCAGTTTTCCAATCAGATGAGGCTAAAATTCTATCAGGTGTTTCCTACCTATCCGGTGTAAGATGATCTGGGGGATCCTGGTGAAATCCAGCAGTAGATGTTGATCGTCCATCTTTTCCTCCGAATTGACCAAACTCCCTTTAAACTCCGTGAACAGGGCCGTGCAGAGACCACTAAAGGGGCAGGTGCTCAAAAAAAAAAAGGGCACATCTTATCGCATTTTAGGACAGAATATTAACAAAGTCACATAGCTTTCAGAGTTTAATGAACAATGATAAATTACAAAATTGTGAGACATACAATCAAAGCTAAGGGAAATCTCTACATAGAACATAGAACTATGCATATGTAAAATATTTTATTAGTAATTTCTTTCTGCAGGTCTATTTTCTTATAGGAAAGTATTACAATATTCAAACCTGCAATTTAGCCAAAGACGTAAATCAGAGCTGGACCACCAGACATATTTTGTCTTTACAGAATTAAACTGTTAAAAATGCATACAAGGGCACAATGCAACCTTTTAGTGTACTGTAATCTATAAAAAAGAATGTCTGCCTGGTTTGCTGTACTGACAGTGGAGATGGAGACGGTCCATTCAGAAAAGCAGAGCTGCTGCATCAAACTTTAACGTGGAACTGCAGAAAAAAAAAAGAACAAAACAAACATTTTATTAATGCATGTCACCATGAGTAAAGTCTACTCTGTTTGTGTCTTAGTGTATTTTGTAAGTACCTAAATACATTTTCTTCAATCTTTCCTCTTCGTTTTTTCTTGTCAGTTTCTCTTTCCTTTTTTTCCTCATTGTCTCATCTTTTCTGTGTTGAGTGAAGGTCAATGTCTTATCTATTTCAGTCTCTTGCCTTTCTTTTCCCCCCAAACTAAATCTAAGATTATGATCCAAAAACTTATTTTCCGTCATGGTGATTTAACTGTTTAAAAACAAATTTCAAACTTTTAAGCATTTTTGCTATTTTTGTTCTCTTTTGTCCACAGCAGCAGTTTTCTGTTAGCCATGTCTTTAAAAATGTTAATAACCTCACAGTGAATGATTGGCACATCCTTCTCGATTGCCAACAAAAGAAGGTCTGACAACCGATCCTCCTTGCATAAGCTGCGCAGTTTTGTTTTCACCAGCTTCATACATTATATCTATCATATATCTATCATGGTAGTTCTGGATGAGTTCTCCTTTAAGATAAATTTACCTAATGCCAGAATAAATGAAATGTACATCATGCAGCAAAAGAAATTAGAAAATCAGACATATATCCATTATGGAGATGATAAGTTTTTGACGGGCGATGTGCCCCTATTGCATAAGTAATACTGAAGAATGTCCTACTATCATTAACGACACAGGGAAGCTTTTTAGTTATCTTGCTTTGCTAGCAAAGTCATTAGCTAGCAGCTAGCTCATAGCACAAGAACAACAGCCTACTGTCTGTATGATAAAAATACTGAATCGATAGATAAGAACAGCTTTTCCTCACCTGGCTGTCTCCTCCCGCTCAGTAGTTCTTCAGAGAAAGGCGCGCCGCGTCCTATACTTTCCTCCGTTTAAACCGCTACTCTTTGCTAAAGTAGAGAAATTATACAACGTTCAAAGTTTTCCGTTGTCTGACAAGTAGGAAGCCTACTCCAGTATTTTCACCAAAAATTATGTTTTTTAATTCACAAAAAAACTGTTCTGTAATCATTACAGAACAGTTTTTTGTGAATTAAAAAACATAATTTTCAGTGTAAAAGACTAAAAGCACAGAGCAAACAGTGTTTGAGATCAAACATTACTGCATCATCCATGGGGCTCATTTGGTTTCACTTACATCTCTATTCAGGTTGACATTGGAGAGGCGGTGCAGACTGAAGACATAGCCATCCGTCCGATCATGGTTGATCTTGCTTAGGGCCAAATGAGCAGCAGCCACAGTGTAATGTGGAATGTTCGCTACCTTTAGCTCCGCAGTTAGCCGCCTTATCTGACTGTGCGAGAGGCAAGTGCGTCGTCCCCGGCAAAAGGTCAAAGGT